TGCACTGTATCCGCGAGTCATTTATAACTTAATATGTGTAATGCACAACATGCGCTCGACTACAAACTTGGAAGACTAGAACTTGCACTTTTCCAGTGTGTTTCCTGTTTCTTCTAGTTTGATGGGTATGCATTTGTTAGCAGTACACATCTCAAAAAGTTGTTACACTAAGGAAAGTCTCCAGCGAGGTGTCACTAAAGGGGTGCCGTTGGTACCCGCGCATAGTGCGCAAATTCGCATGTAAAGATACAAATAACTCTAGGATACATTTCATTTAGTGAGGATGTAAGAAGAAGATCAAGCAAAAGATCTGACAATGAGGGAAGGTAAGAATGAGTCCACCTTCTAGTTCTCTCGTAGAAGCACGGAATTTGTATTCTAATGAATTGTTGACCAAAACGTTTTTTTTAGTAAGGAAAGCAGCGGCGAGTCGGAGCGATCGTCAAGATTTAGTAAGTTCATGGTGCAGTTTTCTTACCTTTTCTAAAAATCTTGGACGATCTAAACACATTAAATTCGATTCTTATTCATAGATAAAGACTGGCGTCCTCGTCGGGTTCAATTGCGCAATTTCACACCCACCTGAAACTCATATGCGGTATTGGGTGTCCACACCTAAACCTATTTTTCAGCCAAAATAGCTGTTCTTGCTTGCACAGCAACTTTCCCATTGCTATCCTATCATAGGATATAAGCTCCTTTCAACAATAATAATCTTTTTATACAGTATTAGAAGATGGACGCAGCGATTTCGCCTCTCGCGGAAAAAAATGCAGCAATACGAACATACCAAATGCTAAATCGTGTCTACTTTGTTCTGTGAGGGGTGGGGGAGGGGTATCTGTCTAGCTCAAAAACTAGCGATGGTTAACGATTCTACCCAAAACCCAAAACTTGAAAAATGACGAGACACAAGAAAAACTCTTCATCTCATACCTTACAATGTCCACTCGTTTCAATTTATTTCCGAAAGTATACATGCTTCAAAGCAATCTCTGGGTTTCATTAATCTTTTCTGGGAAGTGATCACCTCGTTGTTTGGCTCAACCAATTGCAGGTCGGCTATTGGATCTTAGCGAGAGAGTCGGACGCTTTAGCGAGAGAGTCGGACGCAAAGTGAAAACCTTTGTTAGCAGACCCATAAGACCTGCTGTGATGAAGAGATTTGTAAAGCGGGTCAGAGCGAGAATTACATCGCCAAGACGAACTGTATGTTTCATGGACTGTTCTGCAAGATGAGCCCAAGTCTTTTCAACTGCAGCGAGAATTAGAAACTTACGGAGAAGTGGCTTTTCCTCGCACACAAAGACTCTCGTCAGAGCGGAGAAAGCAAGCTGATAATGTGCGATTTGTTCGATTAGAGCTTGGATTTGTAATCGTTAGCACTTCAGATTTTTGTTGATGCAACGCAAGAGACTGTAGCACTTCCTTCTACGGTAAACCATTTCCGCTTTCAGTGTCGTAATATCTAAAGTAAATATGACAGAGCGTTGTGGCTAAAGTGCAAGAGCATGAAATCAGCGAGAAGCTTGAAAGTGGCTGTCCAATCATCACTGGTAACAAAGATAACGATGGACAGGTCCTTATTGGTAGCCAGCCGTTCTGGATGAACGATAATGTTAGCAACTCAATTACGACTTGTTCAATTCGCTAAGTACTGCCTTTCAGGAAGTGGATATCATTACAGCCGATGATCTGCAGCTGAATGCAGAAGTTGTATTAGACGTAGATGATGGAAAGATCGTCCTGGAAACTATGCCAAAGATTCCGTTTGTCTTTCCTATCAAAGTCAATCACCAGACATTTCATGCGCTTGACCTGCCATTTGCAGAGTGCTTCTGAACCCTTTCAACGATCTGAAAGTTCTCAAGAAAAGAGATGGGCAGTTCTTTACGAGGGGACTATTGTTTAGTAATTCTGTGAGAAGTATGATCAACCTTAGTGGTAGGTAATTTAACCCTTGTAGCAAAGGCTTTGCTTGGTTGTGATAAATTATTCTAACAGATATGACATCAGTAAAAATTCCGGAAAGAAAGCGTATGCATAAAAGAATCGTAAAATATGCAAGGCCTAATGCGAGATACTTTTATGAGGTACGCTAATCAAGAAGGGAAGATCAGAGAAAAATCATTATTCCTACGAGATAACAGACTTTTATATGACGCTTCATTCTTAATTTTTTTTT